ATTCCTCTTTTTTTGAGGTAAATACAATTGTTAGTAAAAAAAGTGGTGTATTAAAATCTGTTGATTAAACACATCATGTTCGTGTTGAGATTTTTCACTCGTTTATTAACACATATCGTCTACAAGTTTACATGTTTTTTACTTGTCGCTGATTTAACTTGACATGTAACCATTTAATATAAAACGTTTGACAGGGATGAATGAGGGTTATGTGATTTTTTTTGGCATAACAACAAGAGTATCTGAACTTGTTTATACGCATTTCAGTTAATTTCCTTCACGGTTTGGTCCCAAGGAGTTACCAATACTCGAACTCAAGAAATCTGAGTTTACAGTTCATTTCTATTACCATTTAAAATACCTTTCAATTAGGATTATGTGGTTTAGTTCTTCACGCATAATGGTAAAGAAAAGTTGTTACCCATTTTTTGTTTTCTATTAATTATGTGGGATCAAATAAAAGCGAATTTCATATTACTCATATTGATTAAAGGGCATATCGCAATTAGCACTCTAAAAGATTCAAGATTTCTTATTTTTTATCCTTAAAAATTAAATTTTTCATATTATATCTTGAATGTACTAAAAATGTTAGAATGCGACTTTTCTATTAGTTTATGTTGTTTTGTTTTGTTAAAAACCATCCAATTGACGTTGACAACATGAATAACGAAAGTTAACAAAATGATCACATTATAATATTTTTACTGAATTCAAGATACAATGCTGAAAAAAAATTAATCTTTAAAAGTAAAAAGTAAAAGTTTTTATAATGCTGTGTAATTCACCCTTGATTAAATTAAAATTTTATTACAACAGTCGAACTTAGGACATCAAAATAGTATACTCAATTCTTACCATCACGTCATCTTAGGAATTTTCAGCTAATGCGAGAAATAACTTCTAAGAGACAAAAAATAAATAAATAAAAGAAGCTTCACCAAAGATTAGATTTAACATAAAACTAATGGGGAATGAAAGGTTGGTCACCACCAAACGAACAATGTTTTTGATACCTAATTTGGGAATTTAATTAGAGAATTTAATGCCATGATAATTAGATTAACCGTATGAATGTGAACATTCCATTAAATTCACTTTCAATCCAATTTCTACAATAAAAGTATTAAATCGTCAAATTAGATTAAAAAACTATATTATTTGAACCAAAATGAGACATAATATAATGGTCCATATAACATCCACGTCATCTTTAAATAAACAAGTTGGAAACTGCTAAAAAATTCAAGTCATTGTCTTTTTTGAACCCTAAAGGCCATTTCGGACTCCCCCTCCCGTTTAATTTGCATTTGTTCTTTAAATATAGTAACTTGTCATGTTTTCAAAATCCAACAGACTAATTTAATTCATTATAACTCCTGTATTGATTATAAATCCCATTAAACATTAAAATTTGGACTACATTTTCTTAGTCGATTAATAAATTAAATGAATAAATTNTATTGATTATAAACCTTATTAAACATTAAAATTTTGACTACATTTTCTTAGTCGATTAATAAATTAAATTAATAAATTTTGTCATAATTTATTGTCCATGGTCATGGTTGTGTGGCGATTTGGACCCTTTGATTTTATAACTTTAAAATTAGAACCGTATCTGACCATCTGATTCGGCAGTAAACAATTCATTTAAACCTCTTTCCTGTAAACTGGAGCTAGTTCTTACACAGAGAGAGAGAGAAAGAGAGAGAGAGAGAGAGAGAGAGAGAGAGAATGGATTCCACTACTTTGACAGAGAAGCCTCATGCCGTCTGCATACCATACCCAGCTCAAGGCCACATAAACCCCATGCTGAAGCTAGCAAAACTCCTCCATCACAAAGGCTTTCATATCACCTTTGTAAACACCGAGTTCAGCCACAGACGCCTCCTGAAATCTGGAGGTCCTGATTCACTCAACGGCCTGTCATCGTTCCGATTCGAAACCATTCCCGATGGCCTTTCTCCATCAGATGATTCAGATCCTGATGTCACCCGAGATATCGTCTCTCTTTTTGAGTCCATCACTAACCACTGCTTGGCTCCATTCAGAGACCTCCTTTTCAAACTTAATGAAACCTCGTCGTCAAGGGTACCTCCTGTTACTTGTATAATTTTTGATTCTACCATGAGCTTCACACTTGCAGCAGCCGAAGAACTGGGCATCCCTGAAGTTCTCTTCTTCCCCGCCGGTGCTTGTAGCTTCCTGGCTTTCATTCAATATATGAAACTCATCGAAGAAGGTTATACACCACTCAAAGGTATTAATTAACTACTAACCAACTTCATATGCATCGACATCCTTCACATTACGCTTCTATTTTTTTGGAAAAGTAAAATATAAAATTACATGTATATAAGGGTTTTGAAAATCGGCAGGCGTGTAATGGTCATTACGTAACGATAACGATGAGCTCTGATCTCGTTATATCCCGATATAACGGGTAGAATAAATTTCACACCCATAATGGTCGTTATGGCACAATAACAAAATGTAACGGCGTTATGAGAGTGTAACAGTCCGTTACACTGCTATAACGGCATAGTTTTGTAGCTTTTATTGCTCGTCCATGGCGGTTTTATAGCCGGAAGAGATGGTTGGATAAAAAGACGGTGAAGCTTAGTGGGTTGGGAAAGGGCTTAGTGGGTTGAGAAAGGACAGGCAGTCATAGTTGGCAGGCTTTTGGAAAGGCAAAAAACAAGTGGAGTATATTCTTTTTACAACTTATATAATGAATAGTTGTTGATTCATTATCAACAAATTCGGTCAATGAATAAATGATAAGTGTCGTGTACTTTAATAATGTGAAGGAGTGACTTTGAACAGAGTAAAAATTGTAGATGATGGGGCCGTTCTTGCACAAATTTAACGTCTAATAATTTTTATTGAAAATTATAATTTTTTTTATTTTATCCCAATGATCTAAATCTAACAGTTATTTTGACTGCTTCTTATTTTGAATACAATTTTCAAATAAATATATATTAATTGCTTTGACTAAGTTTTTTTGCTTTTGTCCTAAATTTGGATTAATTAAGAAATTTAGCATACCAAAATCATGAATATAATAAAAAATTATTATAAATTACAAAACTACTTAATTTATTTTATTTTGGTACAAATATATATAAATTTTTTATTTTTGTCGATAGTTGTTACATAACGCCCATTACATCATGTGTCCGTTACATCACATGTCTGTTACACTGTTATCAATACCGTTATATCACCTATTACCGTTATTCAGAACCATGATGTACATGTAAAGAAACAATATGTTTATCAAGCAGACTAAAAAACAAAAGAAGGGGACAAGTACCTGAATTGCAATAAGTTCTGCTTTGTGACAGAACTTATGGCAATTCAGAGCATTCATGATGGAAGATCAGAGGACCAAGCATTAGACACAAAATTGTTCCAATGCAGGAGAAAAGTTATATTCCGGGTGGATTGTTTGAAATTGGCAGTGAGAAGTTTACTACTAATAACATGAAGGATGGACTTCAGAACAGTCGTTGCATCCCTGAATTCATTCTTGAAGACTCTGACTTTTCTTTCTCTCCAAATCGTATAGACAGAACTAGAAAGGTTGAGTTTGAGCACAATGGATTTGAGGGATTTCCCTTTCCACTGGTTGGATGCTAAGTGGATAGCTGGTAACCAACATGGGTGGAACCAAGTGGCCATAGAATGACTAAACACCTTATTCCATATTTCACTTGTGAAAGGGCATTAAAAAAAAATGATTGATGCTTTCCTTTGTTAGTCTATAAAACACAAATGTTGTATTAATGTTTTGCACATAAGTCTTGATTCGATCCTTCGTTCCAAGCTTCCCATGAATAGCAATTCAGAGAACAAAAGACACCCTAGGGATGTATTGAGGATACCATACAAGCAGGTGCCAAAGAACCTTAGAACTAGAGGTATAAAAAGATTTTGATGCTGCATGAGTTGCATAATGACCACTAGGATCAGGGTGCCATTTAATTCTATCAGCATACAGAGAGTTGGGATTATAGGATGGCATAGAAATGATAATTTGCAGCAGCTTTGGAGTACTTGAAGAAAACCATGCCCAGCAGGTACCATTAACAATGGTTTCTACCTTTGTGGTAGATGACAGATTTGCAAATTTAATGATTCTATCCGACCATTTAAGAAGAAGAGGCCCATGCGGGTGCCAATTATCATGCCACAAGTGTGTTGATTTAAAATACACTTTTATTAATTTATCTTAATAGTTGGCTTCCTACCACATATGCCCAAAGGATAACTTATAAATAGTGAGTTCTACTTTAATTTTTAAAAACACTATCAAGAATAGCTTCCAAACAATGGAAGGTAATCAACCATTGAGAAATCTCCATCTTGTGCATATATAATATACATCACACAATTATGTGGGTGTGTGTCTCTTTTTCTAACTTATTTTGTCATGGCTCATATGTATGTCCCTTTAAATACTTACATTTATGTGTGTGTATTTGAAATAAATTTTGTTACATTGAATGTGAATCAAAAGTAAATCTTGAAGATATTGTTTCACTAGTTTTATTTTAACATTGGCATTTTAATTTTTTTTATGTGCAGATGCTAGTTACTTAACAAATGGATATTTGGAAACCGCCATAGATTGGATACCTAGTATGAAAGGTATACGTTTGAAGGATTTTCCAAGTTTCATAAGAACAACAGACCCAAATGATTTTATTTTAAAATTTATTGCAAGTGAAACTAAAAAGACTAAAAAGGCCTCTGCAATAATTTAGAACTCATTCGATGAATTGGAGCATGATGTTATTGAAGCTCTTTCATCTATTCTTCCTCCAATTTATTCGGTCGGACCATTGCATATTCTCCAAAATCATATCCAAGATAACGAGTTGAAGTTGCTTGGCTTAAATTTTTGGAAAGAAGAGTCAGAGTGTCTTCAATGGCTTGACTCGAAAGAACATAAATCCGTGGTGTATGTGAATTTTGGAAGTGTCACTGTCATGACACCAAACCAAACGATTGAATTTGCTTGGGGACTAGCTAATAGCAATCAAAACTTTTTGTGGATAATAAGGTCTGATCTTGTTATTGGTGATTTGACTGTTTTTCCACCGGAATTTGTGGAGGAGATAAAAGATAGAGGCCTATTAGCAAGGTGGTGCCCACAAGAAAAAGTTCTCAACCACCCGGCAATTGGAGGATTCTTAACTCACTGTGGATGGAATTCAACTCTTGAAAGCATAAGTGCCGGAGTACCAATGATCTGTTGGCCATTTTTTGGTGATCAACAGACCAATTGTTGGTTTTGCTGCACTCAATGGGGCATTGGCATGGAGATAGAGAATGATGCTACGAGAAATAAAATTGAGAGCGTTGTGAGAGAGTTGATGAATGGAGAGAGAGGCAAAGAGATGAAGAATAAGGCATTGGATTGGAAGCAAAAGGCTGAAGAGGCCGGTACAGGTTCAGCGTATGTGATTCTAGAGAAAATGATCAACCAAGTGCTTCTCACTCAAAAAACTTAGAATTGTATGTCTTCTCGTCAAGTATTGGNTTTGACGTGCAAACACCAAGTAGCTTCTTGAGCTTCTGAAATGTAGAAAACTTGAGAGGCTTGGTTAGAATATCAGTGATTTGGTCTTCACTTCTACAGTAAATAAGATTAATGAATGATGATTCATTCGTGAGATCCCAAAAGAAATGATACTTCACATCTATATGTTTGCTTCGACCATGTAAAACTGGATTTTTTGAAAGCTTTATTGCTGAACTGTTGTCACATTAAATCTGAGTAGGTTCATCCTCCTTGAAATGCTGCTCTTTAAGAATTTTCTTTAGCCAAATAGCTTGACAAGCACAAGCTATTGCAGCAACAAATTCAGCTTCAGTGGATGATAATGTGACAATAGGTTGCTTCTTTGATGACCATGAAACAACTCTTGTCCCCATCATGAAAACTTACACAATGTGCTTTTTCGATCATCTGAATCTCCTGAATAATCACTATCTGTAAACCCAAACATATCTGACTTTTCTCCATTCTTGTAGGACAGCCCAAACTCCTTAGTACCTTGCAAGTAACAGAAAATTCTTTTTGCAACCAAGAGATGAATCTCTGTAGGATATTCCATGTACTTGTTAATCACACTTACATCATGCATTATATTAGGTCTTGTTGCTGTCAAATACATTAAACACCCCGCTATTTGTTTGTAAAGAGTGTCGTCAACCTTCTTTCCACCATTATCTTTGTTTAGCTTCATACCAAACTCAGATGGAGTATTTACAGGATTACAATCATTTATCTGAAACATGTCCAAAATTTCTTGCGCATACTTCTATTGAGAAATAAAAATTCCAATAGAAGACTGCTCCACTTCAATGCCAAGAAAATAATGCATCATGCCAAGATCAGACATCTCAAATTCAGCCATCATGGATTTCTTAAAACTTCCAAACATGGCTGTATTATTTCAAGTGTAGATTAAATCATCTACATNGTCAGATCGTCCTTAGGGAACAACTGCAAGTTCCCTGTCTAGGCCTTTTTGGAGAATTATCAAAGTAGGTAAGGACTGCCATATATTCACACCCTGACAAAGGATTCCACATCCGATTGCCTCATCCCCTTAGTTTCCACAACAAAAAACTGACACAATACTATTTAAAAAGACAAGAAAATCAGACGCATGCAGGTATATTTGCGTTGATATAAACAAAATACTAAATGACGTTTTTACATAATAACAGTAGGAAGCAAAGGATATAGAGAAAGCAGAGGATAAACTTTTCTGCTTTTCATTGATAAACAAACAGCCTATAAATAGGCTAATACATAACTGAAAGCAACATGAAATAAGGCACTATCCAACATTCAAAACAAACTCCTATTGACTATGTAAACAGACTCCTATTGACTAAGTAAACAGAAACAAACTTATTGACACTCCTAAAGACTNGGGACATTTTTGAAATCCTTCCTTCAAAAAATAAGTTTCTATACGATTATACCAAGATCGTGGAGCTTGTTTTAATCCATATAGAGCTTTCTTTAACTTATACACTTTATGCTCACTACCAAGTTTTACATAACCAGGACGTTGATCGATAAGTACCTCTCCTTACAAATCTCCATGGAGGAATGCTAATTTCACGTCCAACGGGAAGAAAGCCATGAGCTTTGAGCTGCCATCGCAAGCACCAATCTGATTGTATCATGCCTTGAAACCAGAGCAAAGACNCTGAAGCGCCATCCCTCAAATTGAATCATTTGACGTGCAAACACCAAGTAGCTTCTTGAGCTTCTGAAATGTAGGAAACTTGAGAGGCTTGGTTAGAATATCAGTGATTTGGTCTTCACTTCTACAGTAAATAAGATTAATGAATGATGATTCATTCGTGAGATCCCAAAAGAAATGATACTTCACATCNGTAAACGCACTTTACACCAATTGTCTTCTGCCCTTTTGGAAGATCACGTAGCTCCCATGTATCATTTCTTTCAATGGCCGTAATTTCAACATCCGTAGCCTTTCTCCATTGTGATTCTTTGACAGCCACTTCAAAAATGATAGGATCACAACCTGAAAACAAAGCGAAATGTGTAAGTGGGTAATCACCTTGGTCAACTCCAGTTACCTCATAATTAGTAATCCATGCTGGCCTTCTTCGAACACGTTGAAGACTTTGTGATTTAGCTGCAAGTGGCCTTTTATTAGCTATTGGAACATTTTGAGTGACTTCCTCTTCTTGATCGTTCTCCATAGGTTTCTGCCCTTTCTCATAATCATCAAAATCTGCTGGAATATTTTCTTTAACACCATTTTGATTCCATGACCAGGTGCCTTTTTCATCAAATACCACATCACGGCTGATGACAATTTTCATGGTGCTAGGATTGTATAGTTTATAAGCTTTTGACTTATCACTAACACCAAGAAAAATGCAATTTTCTCCCTTGTTATCTAGCTTCCTCCTCTTCTCATTTGGAATATGAGCATGGACAATACACCCAAAAATCCAGAAATGATCTACAACAGGTTTCCTTCCACTCATGCTTCCTCTGGTGCCATATTTTGAACAACAAATGTGAGACTTCTGTTTAATAAACGAATGCTCCAATTAACTACTTCAGGCCAGAAACTTGTTGGAATGCCACTTGTTCTCAAAAGGATTCACAACATATTAATAATAGTGTGGTTCTTCCTCTCATATACATCATTCTTTTGGGGTGTATAAGCTACTGTAAGTTGTCTCTTGATTCCATAGTTCTCACAAAAATTTGCAAATTCATGTGAGTTATATTCTCCACCACGATCCGTGCGAAGAAATTTTATTGGGTTGCCAACTTCTTTCTCAACAAGCGCTTTATAGTCTTTAAAAGCTACAAAGGCTTCAGATTTTTCTTGCAAAAAATAAACCCGTATCTTACGACTATAATTATCAATGAAGGTAATTATATATCTTTTACCTCCATTAGAATGTGGTGTTATTGGCCCACAGAATGAACAAGCTCCAATGCTTTCTTCGTTCTCCAAGATTTTCCTTGTGGGAATTGATTACGGTGTTGTTTGCTAATAACACATTCTTCACAAACTTGAGAAGAAGCTATAATTTGAGGAAGCCCCGTCACCATGTTCTTTTGTTGTAGTGTTTTCAATCCGCCAAAATTCAGATGCCCATAGAGAAAGTGCCATAGCCATGCCTCATCTTTTGATTTTGCTGAGAAGCACGAATGAGTGGTGTTGGGAAGATAAAGTGGGAACATACGATTCTTTGTCATATTAACTTGAGCAATTAAGCCCAACTTCGTGTCTTGAATCTGACATACTCCATATTTGATAAAAATCTTGTATCCTTTTTCTTGTAACTGACCCACACTAAGCAAGTTGGTCTTTAAATCTAGCACAAAAAGAACATTAGCGATAGTGCGGGTGGAATTTCCTTTGGTTTGGATTGTTACCTTTCCTTTTCACATAACAGAAATTGTGGGGTTGTCACCAAACTTAACAGAGCGGCGAAAGGATTCATCCAAGTCAGAAAATGCCTCCTTCTCTCCACACATGTGGTTGCTGCAGCCAATGTCTAAATACCACATGTTTGGTTGAGTTTCTTCCTTTTCTGCGAAGTTAGTTTGATCTTCACTTTGTTTATTCAAATCAGTTTGACATTCTGATTTATAATGGCCATACCTATGACATCTGAAACATTTAACATTGGACTTGTCTGCTGACTTTGATCTATAAGTTGTTGAGTGGTGGCCTCCACGTCCTCTGCCACTTCCTTGAAATTGACTCTCTCTTGATGATGATGATTTTGTTGTTNACTGACTTTGATCTATAAGTTGAGTGGTGGCCTCCACGTCCTCTGCCTCTTCCTTGAAATTGACTCTCTCTTGATGATGATGATTTTGTTGTTGATTCCCATGATCATTGTTGTTTCTGCCTCCTCTACCTCGACCTCTGCCTCTTCCTCATCCCCTATCAGCTCTATTGGATGTAGAGTGATTTTTTGATATGGCCTTCAATGCTTGTTCTTCTTTTTCCGGCTGGTTAAGTTTTTGCTCATGAACCAACAAAGAACTTTGTAATTCATCAATTGACAATAAACCAACATCTTTAGCTTCTTCTATAACATAGACAACAAAATTAAATTTTGGTGTCAACAATTGAAGAATCTTCTCAACAATGAGAACATCCTCTGTCTTGTTGACATGGATCTGCATCTTGTTAACGATTGCCATCATTCTTGAAAAATAGTCTGTAACTGATTCTCCTGACTTCATTCAAAGCATTTTGAACTCCAAACGAAGTGCTTGAAGTGGCTGCCTCTTAGCCCCTGTTGTACCTTGGTACTTCTTCATGGAATCCCAAATATGGTTGGCCGTTTCCTTGCAAAGAATGGTTTCCAAGATTGAGCAATCAATAGCTTGGAAGAGATAATTCTTTGCTTTAAGATCCTTTAACTTTAGCCCTTCAAGCTCTATCTTTTGCGCATCTGTCAGCACAACACCTTTTGCTGGTTCTGCTACTCCAGAAACAACAACCATCCAATATTTTTTGGACCTCAAGAAGTTTTCCATGAGCATGCTCCAATNTTACTCCAAAAACAACAACCATCCAATATTTTTTGGACCTCAAGAAGTTTTCCATGAGCATGCTCCAATGATCATAGTGACCATCAAAGCGTGGAATGGCTGGCTGCACAGAATAACAGTACGAAGTAGAGGATATAGAGAAAGTAGAGGACAAACTTTTCTGCTTTTCATTGATAAACAAACAGCCTATAAATAGGCTAATACATAACTGAAAGCAACATGAAAATAGGCACTATCCAACGTTCAAAATAAACTCCTATTGACTATGTAAACAGACTCCTATTGACTAGGTAAATAGAAACAAACTTACTGACACTCGTAAAGACTAGGACACCCAAACGTGGAAATTACTAATTTCCTCAACATGCGTACACTAATATATTAGTCATGGCTATAACTTCTTGAAGCATAATAGACCTAGCAAGGCCC